AACACTTTGCCGACTAAATAATTTGGTCGCTGGCTTTGTCGGGGATACATAGTCGCCGAAGGAATTAGTGACTAAAAAACATTTAGTCGCCAAAACTAGTACAAAATACCAACTAACGTTTTAGTAGGCAAAAATAACAGGTATTAGTGACGAAAAGAGTCTTAATCGCTGATAACTGACATTAGCGACTAACATATTAGTCGCCCAAACGGTACATTAATTCGTTTAACTCACATATTTAGCTACTAAAGTTTTTGTCGCCAAAAATTAAAATATCTACGACGACAAAATTATTAGTCGCCAATAGTGCAACTTCAGCTACTACATGTTTAGTCGGCCATGATTCTTTTATTATGTTTTAGTCGCCAAAAATATTTTGGATTTTAGCTACTAAATAGTTAGTCGCCATAACTGTTTTCAAGTTGTTTTGGCTACTAAATATTTAGTTGCCAAAAGTCTTTTGAGTTTTAGCTACTAAACATTTAGTCGCCATAATTGTTTTTGATTCGTTTTGGCTACTAAATATTTAGTCACCAAAAGAATTATTTCTTTTTGGCTACCAATTGATTTGTCACCAAAAGCGTCATTTTATATTATTGTTTTGTTTGTTTCATTTTACTAAATTTCGTCCAAACCTGTATGTATCCACCGCAACCTGTAATATGTATACAACCTATATATATTATCACCTATTCCGTAATGCATGTTTCACTTAGAACCATGAAACAAAAAAGAACACCTGCTATATATATTCCAACTACAAATAATAATGTAAACTTATGTATGAACCAACTATATATATTCCAATTACAAATAATAACGTCATACATTCCAAATACGTCACCAAAACAATGTCCTCTATGCACAACATTTTTACTATACTATGCATTGTAATGACCATTTGACAAGGTACAAATTACTATGGTAATATGTACCATGACAAAAGGTAATCTATATTAATTAATACTGGAGCCATTAATACAAGCTCCAAAAATACTATGTATCCCACCAGAAATTATATGTACGATGCATCCAAATTTCACGGTTCATTGATTCTATACCACCAGAGCAATTAATACAAGCTCCAAAAATACTCTGTACCCCGCCAAAAATTATATGTTCGATGCATCCACAGTCCACACAAAAAGTATAGGACGACAAAAAACTTCCCAACTTTTCATAAGTGTGAATTATCTTCCAGACAAAAAAATAGAAGATCCACATGTCAATGCCAAAAGCCATCTACACAACAAAAATTACACCCATTAGTTCCATTGTAAACAAAAAGTTATAGCCATCTACAAAACACAAATTGCAAGGATGTCAATTGTAATTGAAATTGTACGTAAATATAGTTTGAATTTAGGAATTTCAATATAGTTTCTTTACACTTTAAATTGTATTTAAAGTGCAAAGAAATTTCCAAGTCAACCCCAAGTCAAGTTTAGTCTAATGTGTAAACATATATATATTTTATCCATAAATGTACATATATAAAGATGCTTATAGAACATATATATTTGTAAGCTTTAATATATTTGTATAAGCTTTATGCGTTTTTCACGCCAACTCCCAACGTACACATGCTAATTATGTCCTGTCTGTCCCCACAGGTCGTATTTGACACGAGGAAGCTACCCGTGTCATCAATACAGTGGTTCAGGGGCTGCTCATAATTTTAGGCCCTCGAAGGCCTTTTTTCAGCTAAGTTTATGGCATTTTCACGCCAACTCCCAACGTACATGTGCTAATTACGTCCCGTCTATCCCCATAAGTCCTATTTGACACGAGGAAGCTACCCGTGCCATCCCCGCAGTGGTTCGGGGGCTGCTCTCAAATTTCGGCCCTCGAAGGGCTTTTTTGGGCTAAGTTTATGACGTTTTTTACGCAACTCCCAACGTACACGTGCTAATTATGTCCCGTCTGTCCCCACAGGTCCTATTTGGCATGAGGAAGCTACTCGTGCCATCCCTGCAGTGGTTCGGGGGCTGCTCTCAATTTTCGGCCCTCGAAGGCCTTTTTTCGGCTAAGTTTATGGTCTTTTTTTAGGCCAACTCTCAACGTACACGTGCTAATTACATCCTGTCTATCCCCACAAGTCCTATTTGACACAAGGAAGCTACCCGTGCCATCCCCACAGTGGTTCGCGGGCTGCTTTCAATTTTCGGCCCTTGAAGGCCTTTTTTCGATTAAGTTTATGGCATTTTTCACGCCAACTCCCAACGTACACGTGATAATTATGTCCCGTCTGTCCCCACAAGTTCTATTTGACACGAGGAAGCTACCTGTGCCATCCCCACAGTGGTTCGGGGGCTGCTCTCAATTTTTGGCCCTCGAAGGCCTTTTTTCGGTTAAGTTTATGACGTTTTTCACTCCAACTCCGAACGTACACGTGCTAATTACGTCCCGTCTATCCCCACAGGTCCTATTTGACACAAGGAATCTACCCGTGCCATCCCCGCAGTGCTTCGGGGGGTGCTCTCAATTTTCGGCCCTCGAAGGCCTTTTTTCGGCTAAGTTTATGGCGTATTTCACGCCAACTCTCAACGTACACGTGCTAATTATGTCCCATCTGTCCCCACAAGTCCTATTTGACACGAGAAAGCTACCTGTGCCATCCTCGCAGTGGTTCGCGGGCTGCTTTCAATTTTCGGCACTTGAAAGCCTTTTTTCGATTAAGTTTATGGCGTTTTTCACGTGAACTCCCAACGTACACGTGCTAATTACGTCCCATCTGTCCCCACAAGTCCTATTTGACACGAGAAAGCTACCTGTGCCATCCTCACAGTGGTTCGCGGGCTGCTTTCAATTTTCGGCACTTGAAAGCCTTTTTTCGATTAAGTTTATGGCGTTTTTCACGTGAACTCCCAACGTACACGTGCTAATTACGTCCCATCTGTCCCCACAAGTCCTATTTGACACGAGAAAGCTACCTGTGCCATCCTCGCAGTGGTTCGCGGGCTGCTTTCAATTTTCGGCACTTGAAAGCCTTTTTTCGATTAAGTTTATGGCGTTTTTCACGTGAACTCCCAACGTACACGTGCTAATTACGTCCCATCTGTCCCCACAAGTCCTATTTGACACGAGGAAGCTACCTGTGCCATCCATAGAGTGGTTTGGGGGCTGATTTGAATTTTCGGCCCTCAAAGGCCTTTTTCGACTAATCCTATTTGACATGAGGAAGCTACCCGTGCCATCCCTGCAGTGGTTCGCGGGCTGCTTTCAATTTTCGGCCCTCGAAGGCCTTTTTTCGGCTAAGTTCATGACGTTTTTCACACCAACTCCCAACGTACACGTGATAATTACGTCCTATCTATCCCCACAGGTCCTATTTCACACGAGGAAGCTGTTCGTGCCATCCTCGCAGTGGTTCGGGGGTTGCTTTCAATTTTCGACCCTCGAACGCCTTTTTTCGGCTAAGTTTATGGCGTTTTTCACGCCAACTCCCAACGTACACGTGCTAATTACGTCCCATCTATCCCCACAGGTCCTATTTTACACGAGGAAGTTACCCGTGCCATCAATACAGTGTTTCGGGGGCTGCTCTCAATTTTCGGCCCTCGAAGGCCTTTTTTCGGCTAAGTTTATGGCGTTTTCATGCCAACTCCCAACGTACACATGCTAATTACATCTCGTCTGTCCCCACAAGTCTTATTTGACACGAGGAAGCTACGCATGCCATCCCTGCAGTGGTTCGGGGGCTACTCTCAATTTTTGGCCCTCGAAGGCCTTTTTTCAGCTAAGTTCATGGCGTTTTTCACGCCAACTCCCAACGTACACGTACTAATTACGTCCCGTCTATCCCCACAGGTCCTATTTGACATGAGGAAGCTGCCCGTGCCATCCCTACTATGGTTCGTTGGCTGTTCTCAATTTTCGGCCCTCGAAGGCCTTTTTTCGGCTAAGTTTATAGCGTTTTCACGCCAACTCCCAACGTACTCATACTAATTACGTCCCTTCTATCCCCACAAGTCTTATTTGACACAAGGAAGCTACCCGTGCCATTAATATAGTGGTTCGGGGGTTGCTTTCAATTTTCGACCCTCGAAGGCCTTTTTTCGGCTAAGTTTATGGCGTTTTTCACACACGACAACTAACATAGGATATTAACTGAACTAATTTATTTTTCCAATATGAAAATAATGAAGCTCGTAATTGTCCAACGTATTGAATATGATCATAAGAAGGGGAAATAGACCCGGAATTATGTTGATTACAACCCAAATAATTTCATGATTAAAATAATTAGAACTCCTAATGCACAATGAGGCTTTCATTAATTTAGTTCACGTATTACCATCCTTTCCAGGAAACAAAAATTACAATTGTATAGTGGAATTATTGAGACATGGCAAACAAAATTCTTGTGAAATGTAGATATTGTTAAACAATTGGGTATATAACAACTAAAATTGTTGTCCAGTAACATACCCCAAAACTCTAGAAACAATGACTAGGTTCATTATGCATAGACGAGCTACGAAAATGTATACCGATTGACTCAACTAAAACCTACTGACTGTTTCTATCTTAAAATTCAAATAACATTTTAGTTTTCTAAAAAATCGGTTTTCAGTTCGGTTTTATTATCAACACTAAAACCAACCAATTCCTTTTTGTACCTTATAGTGCTCTCAATTTCCATTCTATCTTCACAACTCTTCTCTCTTTCAAACTCATCACTATGAACCAATAATGGCTTGCATGCACTTTAGACCAGTCCAGTTGTACTAGTTATATTGTACTAAATCAAAATTCATTCCAATTTCACTTGGTTTCTTCAATTAGTCTTAAATCTGAAATGACATTCAATTGGACTTGGTTACCTTATGGAAATCAGATTGCGGTCCTTTGTGTATGTCCCGTCTATCCCCACAGGTCCTATTTAACATGGGGAAGCTACCCGTGCCATCCCTACAATGGTTCACGGGTTGCTCTCAATTTTCGGCCCTCGAAGGCCTTTTTTCGGCTAAGTTTATGACGTTTTTCACACACGACAACTAACATAGGATATTAACCACGTCGTTTAGATGATTGAGTTGTAGTTGTTGTGCCTCCCGTGCTTTTTTTTCTTCATCGACTTGTTTGATTAGCTGCTCTCTTTCCCTCATAATTTCCTCCTGATCTCTTTGGTGCTCCTCTTTCTCCTTGAGCAACTTCTCATGATCTCTTTGGCGCTCCTCTTTCTCCTTCAATAGCTCCTCTCGATCTCTTTGTCGCTCCTCTTTCTCCTTCAATAGGTCCTCTCGATCTCTTTGCCGCTCCTCTTTCTCCTTCAGCAACTCCTCGTGATCACTTTGACGTTGCTCACGAAGAACCTCCAGTTCCGCTCTCATTGACTCCATATGTTTATCATGTGCTCGTGCCGCACTAGAAGCTGTGGAAGAGGGTTGTGGGCCTATCCCACATCCACGCAAGTAATTTTGTTTTTTCCTCGAGCACTTGCCTTGAGATTTCTTCGTGGGTCAATGGCAACCCCGCATCGGTGGCTGCCACTTGTAGATTCACCATATCATCCTGTAATGGCAAAAAAATAATAAAGTCAAGATGGGAGAAGGAATTTAAAACAACTTTATTAATTGATATGCAACACACTTGGTTAACATTCAATACTCACATGTAGCTCACCACATTTGGGATCAATCCAATCTCCCGTCTTCTTGGACTTGTGTGCTTTCTTATAAAATTCGGGAAAATCTACATTTAAGAGTCCGAGCTGTAGTGACCCCAAATGAACAGAACGGGACTAACCCTCCCGGGGCGTTCGGGGACGTCTACAATGGTAATATTCAAAATCAAGAAGAATCAATCATCCATTACATTACTAAATTAACTTCTCACTATAAGTGACATTGCTATAGGAAATGATCGCGATCCACTTGTATGATTATAGGGGAGCATACCCCTATTTGCTTTACTAGCCTTATAGCGTTTCAACAAAAATAGAAAAAACAAAAAAAATTAACCAACATCAATAAGTTTTAGTGAAGAAGTTTTACATATATTAGTGAAGAAGTTTTACATATTAACACATAAATTAAAACTTAGAATAATGGGGTTTCTAATTAATTTTTTACTAAGTGAGATTCATCTTTCCAAGCAAAATCAATCAGATATTTCCAGTCCTTCAAGCTCACTCCACTAGGCGGATGACTATAGGGGTCATCAACACCCTTTTCCTTAAGTTCGAGGAACTCTTGCTGTAGATTGTACCTCCAATCCTTGTATAGCAAATATGCCTTCCTATTGAGGATCTGTTGAGCTTGTTCATCATTGTCAAAATCATCGCCGATAACAAACTTGTCCTACAAACATAGTATGAAAATTACCCCAACAAATTAATTTAACCAATTACAAATTACATAATAAAGACATTATGGCAAGATAAATCTCATACTAGCACCACTTGGACGACCGCATCTTTGGTACTTTGATTAATTTTCTCCACGACTTCACGCTCTGAAGAGGGCACAAGCGTCTAATTTGAAGGCCCAACTCATTCGTCGCTAGGGTGGCATTTCCTCTTGTGATTGCGTTCAACACCCGATTGACATAGACGTGTGATTTCTCCCCTTTTTTCCTAGCAATTTTTTTCTGCACACCTTTGCCTAATGTAGGTCCTCGAACACGAGTTGACCTCGTTTGCCCTGGTACAAAAAGGGGAAGGTAGTCAAAATTACAAACATTGCTAATGGACTACCAAAAAAAAAAAAGTGCTGTTTCCTGGTCCTGTTACTTTTTTTGCTACCTACTGTTGTTGCCAGCTACTGTTTGGCTGCATAAAATCTTGGTAAATTATGCCTACTGTTGCTGCCAGCTACTGTTTGGCTGTATAAAATCTTGGTAAATTATGCTACAACTTGGATAAAGTCTTGGTAAATTATGCATAAAGTCTTGGTAAATTGTTATGCATACTGTTGCTGCCAACTTGGAAGGTTGTGTACCTAATATTTTATTTGTTGTGTAAGTGTCCTTGTTATGTGTAAAGTAATGCTTAGTTTTTTTTCCTTTGTTTTTATTTGTCTTTATGGAATAATTATTGCCTTACTTAATGACTTATGCACCCCCCTCCAAAAAAAAAACCAATTTTTTTTAAACAACTAAATAGTATGCTCTTACCCACTCCACCTGGCTGCGTCTCCGCCACCACTGCTTGTGTATCATCTGGTGGTTGCGTCTCATCAGAGAACGTCATCGGGGTGCCAATCTCCTGTGCACATGCTTCAGAGGTTGATAGTACGTTGCCACTTGTTGCTCTCTCCTGTCGCCCCGTCTTGATTCCAGGAACCATTGTACCTACATTACATAACATACGTACATGAGTAATAAACATCACATACATTAGTAGTGTAACTGCTGCAATAATGACACAACAATGTCTACTCAATAATAAATTGCTTGTTAATCAATGGTAACTAATAAACTAAGAGAACATGATGATGATACAACAACAAACTTCTCAATTGTCCATTGTTCATTTAATATACTCATTACCCCAACAAATTTTGGAATTATTATTAACAACAAAATAATGATCAAATATCAATAGCACTGTTCAGTTGACAAAAACACCACCCTAACTCCGCCACCTGTCATCCTTATACACAAGTTGTTCTATCACAGCCCAGCAACCCGCCCCTAAAGGTTCGGGCATGACCTATACAAAAATGGACAAAAAACTGATGTACATGCCGTACGGGGCCTTATCGGAAGCATAAAATATTCATATAACATAAATACAAGCATACTCCATTGAGCTATTTCTAACATGCCAGGATCTCATGCATTACATATATCGTCAAAAGCGGACAAAGTTTAGAACTATAGCCCTAGATATCGCGTACAACATATACATTTACAGTCCTAGCCCGATAATTGGGCATAACAAAAGGAATATGAAAGTTATGTACAACATCCGTAGATGGTTCTCAAAAGTAAACCCCATATCTTAGCAGCTTCATAAAGATAAATGGCCTGGTATGGTGCCTGGACATGTAAAGGTTGACAAAAGGGACGGCGTCAAAGTTAGGATTGACCCCCTGACTGATGACCTACAGAAACAGACAAAATAGAGAGTGAGCCGGGCTCAATGAGTAGTAATACATCAATACATAAAAGGTGCAGCATGCACTTGGTGTGTCTGATTCTGTGTTTAGTTCTTAATGGTCCTAGGCCTAATCTTGCGACATAAACATGTGGCTATAAGCCCTTGAAACATGATGGCACGAAGCCCTTGAACATATGGCACAAGGCCCTTGCAATTCACTTGAAACTTGTGGCACGAGGCCCTTGAAATACACTTGAAACTTGTGGCACGAAGCCCTTGAAATACACTTGAAACTTGTGGCACGAGGCCTTTGAAATACACTTGAAACTTGTGGCACGAGGCCCTTGAAATACACTTGAAACTTGTGGCACGAGTTTTCTTTACATGCTTTAACATTAACATATCTTAAACATGCATAAGTACATTACATGCTTGAGACATTAACATAATTGCCTTACATGCCTTGAAACATTGACATAATTGCATAACATTACATAGGTACTACTACTCACAGTGTTGAGGTGGCGTGTTGCTTCCTTCTGGAATGTGCCCTGCACACAATTAATACATTAGTTTCTTTTTTTTTTTTTGTTAAAAGCATTTCCTACAGCCTGCACCTTGCATGCATTTACAACCGCTTTAAAATCATCTATAAAATATTCTAAAAATACCAGAGAGACAAGCACTTAAAACTGAATCGACATTTAATTTTTCTTGAAAAAGAGTCCCCCGCTCGAGCGCCACTTTGGCCGCTCGAGCGGACTATAAAATGCACAAAACTGCTGAGAGGTGGTTTTTCCCGCTCAAGCGGACTTTCCGCCGCTCGAGCGGACCGAGCAGATTCTGAAATTCTGAACCTCCATTCGAGTCCCAACCTGGTATTCACTCCATTCTTACATGCAACCCAAGGTTAGGTTAATGCAATATTCCCACCTAACATCACTATAACATGGATTCTACCTTGAGTATAATAAATTAACCAAGATTAAAAGCTTCAACAAGCCATCTCTCTCTCTAATTCCATTCTTGGATTCAAGTTCTTCATATCCTTGAAACATAACACATGATATATGCATAATTCCACGAAGTGATGATAGAAAACCACAGATTGAAGTATAATTTCCTACCACACCCAATCTAGATGCCTAAGCAACCAATTGAGAGAAACCCTCATTAATCAAGCATGAATTAGACATGAATCAAACATTCACATCAATTCCAAACTCTAAGTGGCCATAATAAGAAGGATTTGAGCTTACCTTGAATTCAATCCTACACCTCTAACAATTTTGCCAAGCTTTCTTGTTGAATCCCTTCTCTCCGATATCTCTTTTTCACTTCTCTTCTTTTCTTCCAAAATGGTATTCACGTTTTTTGTGTTTTTTGACTAAGGCTCATGAAGTCTTGGAAGATATATAAACAAGCATAACTAAGAAAAATCAATCGTTTAATCATCCCGAATTGAAATTTCATAAACATGCTTAATATTACTTAAAAATTATGTTGATCACAGATATATAATCAATTTCAGCTAATTAAGCTGTTAAGGCTTCCAATTTCTAATTTAAACGTGTTAATGGTGACAGATGGTTTTCTTATGAGACAGATAGACATTCGTAGACATGGATTTCACTTCCTTCCTTAATCATAATTTTTCCACGGAACTACACAGTAAGCATTTAAATGTACCAATCGAGGACTAAGAATATAACAGAAATCATGTGCGAGGGTCGGGTTATTACACTCTCCCCCCCTTAAATAAGTTTGGTCCTCCAAACTTGGGTTACTTTAGGGTTGGAACAGGTGTGGGTATTGGTATTGCATTTCTTCCTCTCTTTCCCATGTTGCGTCGATCCCGTAATGTTCTTGCCACTCAACTTTTACCATTGGAATCTCACGGGTTCGTAGTTATTTTACTTGTCGGTCCAAAATGCGAATTGGTCTCTCCTCATAAATCAACTTGTCATTCAACTCAATTTGGTGGTAGTCAATAACATGTGACGGATCCGGAAGGTACCCACGAAGCATAGAGACATGAAACACGTTATGCACTTGACTCCTTGCCACTCAACTTTTACCATTGGAATCTCACAGGTTCGTAGTTGTTTTACTTGTCGGTCCAAAATGCGAATTGGTCTCTCCTCATAAATCAACTTGTCATTCAACTCAATTTGGTGGTAGTCAATAACGTGTGACGGATCCGGAAGGTACCCACGAAGCATAGAGACATGAAACACGTTATGCACTTGACTCATATGTGGTGGAAGGGCAACTTGGTAAGCTACCGGACCCACTTTT